CATTTATAGAGACAGTCTCCTCAACACCTTCAGATCGTGAACTCGCGTTGAAATCCCGGTTTGGTCATGTGTGTGTGTTAGTGTTTTTTATATCCCCTGTTGGGCAGATTAATCCGTAGGCAGATTAAAATGTGTTAGTTTCTAGTGAGAATATCGAAAAAAAGACTGCTGCTCAAAAAAGACGTAATGACAAACTCAAAAATGAAATGACAATTCAAAATTTAACAATTTCAAGATGATAGTTAGTACAGTAGTTAATAAATTAAGAGGTTTTCATTTTAATTTTGTTGTGGTATGTGGTAAAAGGGTAACAGCTCTTCATAACTTACCCTTTTAATCCACTGTTTGTTTTAGTTTAGCATTTATGCTGGTCATTTACCTTAGTTTAGTAGTAACTAATTTTTGTTGGGTTTATTCTTTTGTAGTTATTTGTTGAGTTTGTCAAAGTTTTAAATTACTTGCAGTAAAATTTCTTATTCTCATTTGTAGCATTTTAATTGATCCCTAATTAGGTACTGCCCCTGAGCTACGCAGTTACTGCACATCATGTACAAGTATTATTAAAGAATCAAAAACTTTACGTTATAGTTGTAAGTGAGGTTAACTTTCTAGTGATGAAACTTAACTCAAAGTATTGAAGTAGAAAGTAGGTTGTATTGACGTTGTAACTTAGTTCAAAGTTGTAATCTTGTTATGCAACTAAAACTACTGCAGGTTTTAAATCATTCAAACGATTTTGAAAAGATTGCTCATGGTGCTTATACACAAGTCTATTTATTTTAGGAAAGAACTATTTAAACTTGGAGTTTTTAATTGTAAATAATAACCATCCTTTGAATAATTTAAGTAATCTATGTTGATTTGTGATTCAAGAATGGTTCTTTTTTCATAATTCCTACATCCAATCTTGCTCATGTCTACCACCTTCTCTTTACAACATAACAAATGGACAAATTACCAGCAGTTAATGCTTTTGAGTGGAACAATTTAAACTTCAAATGTAAATGAAACAAAAATGTAACAGATAGGCTAGTTGAAGTTCCACAGAGAAAGCTAAATGACATTGTGCTGACTATTATGTATGATGCAGGAGAAAACACCTCAACTGATTTAGCATGATCATTCATTAAGTATCTTCTTGTGTTTTATTAACATCACTAGTAATTTAGTTTAAAAATTACATAAATTCTTTACTATAGGTCGGCCGCTTAGAAAGTGACCTGCACGCTAATGCTAAACAATACTAGAGGAAGTCGCTTTCTAAGCGGCCGACCTATAGTGTATTTTTTTTTTTATTAATCATCTTAGATACATGTAAAATAAGTTAGTCGGAAATTTGTATACCCTTAATAGATTGTAGTTTTATTTTCAGAGGTGTATTCACCTCTGACAATGTTGGGGCTCTGGCTCAAGGCCCCACTAGAAAAACAGGCCATGCTGCAGCGCAACACTACGTCACTGTGGTGGACAGTTGTATTAAAGTCATCAGGCGTAAACAGCCAGCTTATTTACCTAAAACATATAGGATATGGCAGTGATACTATCCACAGGCGTGACATCATGGATCCTGCAGCATTTCTAGTGGGGCCTTGTCTGGCTACATTACATTTTTTTTACATTTGTTTTTGTCATGAGAACTAAAGCTCCCCGACGACTACCCGTTACCTGGATATCCTTAACCCGGGCCCCATGGCGTAGGCCGGAGCTTGCGCACCAACCCTGAATACACCATGGGGTGGATGACTTAAGGCCATCAAGCTCATCGGCTGCCAAAGGCAATTCCCATCGGAAAGAGGGTTGACCCTCAATCCTAACCAGGGATACCGACTACTTAAGCGCCCACTCCACCTGGGTTCCCCCAGGTACGACACCCTGAAGGACCATAGTGGAATGCCCTGACGCATTTAGTGCAAGCAACACTCGGGACCTATCCAATCCCTGACAGGCAGAACCCGCCATCAAATCCAGGAAGAAGGCAAATCAAATCCAGGGGACCACTAGCAAGCTGGTGGGGGGAACCCCAACCACCCATTTCCACCACTACCGGATCGAGGCCAACCCATTGCTGGGAAACCAGGGATACCCAGAGCGATAGATCCCCAGATACCCCTGGCGGGCTTGATCCCAACACCCGATCTACTTCGTTTGCCCATCAAGCCCAACATCACTGCCAGGCCCTCAGGGTTTCCCAAAAGGAGGCAGGCTTAGAAGTGGGATCCACCCGGATGAACCTATCCACCAAAGGTGGCGACACCCTTAACTCAATTGAGGTTCCAGGGAAAAACCCCCCACAGTCTAGAGAGACCATACCCACCGGGCTCAGAGACAGGGATAAGCTAATGGAGTGTGACCACCAGCCGTTACCCTCACACTGCGGAAAGTTCCGTCCCCTAGAGTGTCCCCTTGAGCTAACGGGTACTTGCCCATTTTCAACTCCCAGGACGAGGCTACTTCCATAGTCGAGGATTTGCCACACTGAATGCCGGTCGCACATACCAAGCGAGCCGAAGCCCAAAGAACCACAGTCACAGGCAGTTGATAGATCTTTGGCACACTACCAACACTAGCAGAGCTGAACACCCCCCAACCTGGATGGAGGAATGTCTCTGGGAACTCTCACTTTGGGTAGAACCCAAAGAGGCTGGCTTGCCCAGTCGTCCATGACTATGACCTACTTGACATGCCGATTCCGACACCGAGCAGTTACCTTCCCTATGGGGGCCTTGTCTGGCTACAGTGTATGTGGGTTAAACTTGTAGTTCTATTAAATCTCTAGATGTTGTCACTTCTAAAAAAAGTTAAATTATCTATTACTTACTGTGCCATACTAGATGATGATGTTAAAAACTTGAAATCAATTAACTATTGAAACTATTTTGATCAGTATCTAGTCCACTAATCGGCAAATTGTTTTGAACTGTTAATAGACAAGCTCTCACAAAACTATGATAAGTTATAGGTGGAAGCATAATTTAATTTACAACAGGTCTATAGTATTGCCTTAACACATTCGCTGTGGGCCACTCTAGTTCCTTTCTGCCACGCTGAACGCTCACCGGTGAGTGCTCTAGTTCCTTTCTGCCATGCTGAAAGCTCACCGGTGAATGCCGGCATAGCCTACATTCCATTCAATTTCTGAGCAGCAGCACACCGGGAAGAACGGGTATTTTTTTGTCTGCGTTTAGCTAGGAACGGGTGCTTTATTGTGCTTATCAACTATAACAATAGATGTAGTAATAACCGTCGTAATAGTCTGGGGAGCCAAAATAGCCAAAATCTACTATGCACAAAATGCTAGCGGATATATCCGCCTATAGTCTGGGAAGGGTTAAGTACCTGATTTTTTTAGCATTCAAACTATGTCTATCAAGAGACAGAAAATTGAGTAAATTGATGGCAGTATTCGTAGTACGATTACAAAAATCTATGGTTTATAATGCACATTAAATTATCATCACATGCTAGATCCAACGGTGCACTTGATAAAAGATACTTCGACCAAACTAAACATGATTTAAAACTTTCACGTAGCTTAGCTAAAACATGAAATTACACAAGTCTTAAGACTTGTCTTTGGATTTTGATTTGGCAATAAACTGTCTTACGTAGACACACCTCTTTTAAATTAAATAAAAATTTTAATTTAAATAAAATTTGCTTTGCAGACAAGATAAGCAAAGTGTGTTTACAGTATCAGTTAGTTTCACAGCCAGTTCTGTAGAGTTGGTCAGCACCATAAATATCTGTTGCGGTAGAGAGGCCGGACAACTACTAATGAAACTTGACCCTGAGATCACTTTAGATTGGTCAATCGCTATAACTCTTTAAAATGATTTGAAACAAATAACTAAGGTATTGTTTCTAATCGTACTTCATTGTAGTAAGTGAAAGTATAAGGGAAGTGGGGAAGTAATGTATCTTCATAAAATGTACTGAAACTAAGTTAGGTTTTACATAAAATGCTACATTAGTTATATTGGTTGTTATGGAATTTTCAGAATATTGATATATGGAAGAGGTTTTAATTGTTCACAAGTAATATTAAGGTTAATATTAAGTTTTTTTCATGGATCAAATGCTAACACTATAAATGGATAACTTATTTGTTAACCATTCTTTAAAAATGATGACTCTTATTAAATGGATAACTCATTTGTTAACAATTCTTTAAAAATGATGACTCTTATTAAGTTCAGGATACTTTTTCCAAGATTAAAAACAAAAGCTTAACTGCAATAACTAGTAGGCCGACTATTGTATACTGGTTAGGATGAGTTTTGATAATAAGTAGTCTTTAAATATATTTTAACCCTCTTAAAAGTAAATAAACTTGAAGTTTTGTAAAAACATCTATCCTAACAAGATCACTTGGCAGTTTGCTTTAATGCTGAAAAATTATACTTCTAATATCAATGTAGTTAAGCATAAATACATGGATATATTATACAAGATTTATGAAGGTGAACTCAATTGATGAGTCAACAATTTACAAAGAACAAAGAACTGACCAATGTCATTTAATAATTACTGGTACTAGTTAATATTATAGTTTTAAATTTCAAATTAACTTGAGGGTAGAGAAAATTTTTAACAAAGATAGAAAAATCAAACATCTAATCCAATTTCAAACACCATCTTAGCTCTTAGCAAGGTATGCGAGGAGCATCAGGGAAATACTTGATTTTTATAGTATCGGATTTGACCTTTTTGCTGTCATCTGTTCACCGTGTTGTTACTTTCAGGTCTTTCAGTGGAGACCTTCACTACTTCCATTGCCAAAGCTTTGACCATTAGCCAGACGGACACGTGACCTCAGACTCCCTTAAGTCACCATCTTGTAAAGACATTTCCGATCTTGTAAAAACATTTGATTTGTAATGGAATATGTCCTTTAAAAGATTCTTTTAATAACACCAATTTACAAACAAGTTTGGATTTCAATTAACCGGTCAACCAAGAACTCAAATAACACCATTATAGGAAAATCTCTTATAACTCACCCTGAAATGAGGAGAAGTAAGAAGCTCTCGAAGTTCCTCAATCTCACCACTTGTCTCGAGTTCCAGCTCCCCCGGTGATAGGGACTGCTCGAAGTCTCGCAGAGCGTCGAGCGCATCTCGGCACTTGATGACAGCATCACTCGGTGGCGCTCGAGTCGGACTCACAACTTTGCTGGAGATACGGTCGTACAGCTGAAACATGTAGCGTGATGAAACTGTTCATCGGACTTGTTTGAGGATTAGTTTAGGAATAGAAATTTCCCAATTTCTCTCTAGACCATTTTGAAGAGCTTAAAAAACAAATAATTTAGTATATTTAAGTTTTTTGTACGCTTATTGGCTACAGAGAAAATTAAAAATCATTTAAAATTAAAATTTCCATGTTATTATTATGGAGAATATTGTAAACTGTCGTAGTTTGCTTGTTTATTGATATATTTAGATCAAACTTTGTAAATTTATTTATTTATACTAAGCTATTCAAATTCTACTAAAAAACACACTTTATTTGCCTCGCTGTAGCAGTGAACCTAGGTACTTGCTAAACCTAATGTTGTTTGAATAGAATTAATTAAAAATCAAATAATGAAAATGGAAATTCACTTAGTCTTCAGGTTTGCTGCGGCAGGAGTATTTGTATTCAATAAGATCAGATGACAATCGGTCAAAGGTCATTAATCAAGCAATAATGAAAAGTTTAATCAAGCTTTGGTAAAACAAACACAATACAGTGTCATACCAAACCAACCAAGTAACGAAGAGAAATACGTACTATACAACCTCAGTATAACTGACTCTTCAGAACATCTTAACACTTTGCTAAGCTTATATACTCTTTCCGCTTGTAAAAACATTTACCTGAGTCAATAGGGTTTTTCAGTTCCAAAATAGAAAGCATTCAATATCACAAGTGTGTTTAGACAGTGAATTTTTTTCTTTACATTTATCTCACACTATTTTTTCTAGTTATTTGAGCTTTTATGTGTTAAGACTACAGTATGGAAAATCACACCAGGCAGGTATAAGGAGTTCAGTATAAAGCTTGTGAGTTGTGTTTAGGATCAATTAGTAAAACAAGTACAAAAAGGCATACTGACATGATTGTGTAATTAATTAGGTCAAAATGGCTTTAACAGTGTACCTAGGGCACACAAAACAACTTGACTGACTTACTCATGAATAATATAGCTAAATTAGAACCAAAATATAAAATTAATATTAATATTTGAGTCTAATAAAACAATGTGTAAGGACTATATTATAAAAATAATGTATATTCAAATAAAACACAGATATAGAATGTTAATGTTGTTACAATCCCCTTTGTTATTCTAAGGTAAAGCCTCAAAACACACAAAGCCAAAGAGGAAGCAAAATCACAAAGGCACCTTTAGACACTTTTTTATTTCTACGAAAAACCCTGTCTGCATATAAATACTTTTTACAGAGAATTTATCTTAGAACAAATAAAGTATGTGCATGTTCAATTTAATTTGGCAATGCAAAAAGTAAAATTCATACAATAGTGGCCAAAAATAAGATTTTATGTTGATCTTATTTGCAAGGAATTTAATTTTTAATTTTTCAACTCGTTACTTTGAGACCTATACCATTGAGTATACACGTACTAGAGTGGTCACTCAATGGAGGCTACAGTTACCTGAACAGCGCTGTTGCAGAGTAGCAAAAGTTTGAGTTTATTGAAGGTTATAAAATGTGGTTTTGTTGATGAATTACGTTTGTTTGATTGTAGTTTTGTTGTTTTATAATGAATTTTAATACCAAATGATTTAAAAGTGCTCAGAAGTGCACTGCACTACCAACACCACTACCGTGATCCAAGCGAGCGGCTCAAACTACTTCGCCAAAATTGGTAACAACTATTAGCATTATGTAACCACACTTATACATGTATACTCAATGCTTTTACAGATTCATCAGCCTAATAAGGAAAACAGTGATATACGAGAACAACCAAGGCTAAGAAACAATGCTAAGTGTAATGACCTTAACAATTAAGCCACGGATAAAATGGAGCTGTCATTATTTGCAAACCAGCTTACATACAAGCTGAAATTTTAGTGGTTTTAATCAAAGTTAGACTAAATTATAATAACATTCAAAAAAGTTGTGTGTCCACAGAGATCCCATTTTGTTGGTTTTAACTGGGGTAGCGGATTTTTACCCCCGGAATTTTAGCCCCGGAATTTTACCCCCTGGATTTTTACCCCCGGATTTTTACCCCCGGAATTTTACCCCCCGGATTTTTACCCCCGGAATTTTACCCCCGGAACTTTACCCCCTGGCCAGATTAGTGAGAATGATTAATTATTTTCATTCAGTTTTAATTTAATAGTAAACATTTTATTATTAAGTAGCCTATCTTAATTTATTTGTAACATTAACTAATCGAACAGGTTTTTAATTTTAAATTTGAGATTCGAGTATAAGGATTCGATCTTTGAAGCCAACTGTTGGTTAATATGATCAAAATAAAACAGCGAATTCTGTTTACTTAGTTGAGATTAGAAAATAAATAAATAAATATAAGCTACTAAATAATGAAACGTTTACAATTAATTAAAAACAGAAATAAGAAAATCAATCATTCCATTTCTAAAATCTGCCAGGGGGTAAAAATCTGGGGGTAAAATTCCGGGGGTAAAAATCCGGGGGGTAAAATTCCAGGGGTAAAAATCCGGTTTTTATCGATAATCTAATTATCATCACGCTCTGACTATTTTCATTAGACTTCCAAATCCGCGGGGGTAAAATTCCGGCCGCGAACAAACTTTTGGCCACTCACGTTACTACGTCATAGTGACGTCAGCTTTGACCAGGGGGTAAAATTCCAGGGGGATAAAATTCCGGCGACCCTATTAACTAACTTATTCACACAATTTTACAAGGCACTTTTAAAATAATATGTTTTTACTAACGAAGTTATCTATTTTTTAACCTAGCTTTTAACGAGATTAGCTGTTAATGCTAATAGCAACCGATATTACGTCTGTTTAATACTAGTGTATCAACATCTTACGATGGTAAATACCTATGGGTTAAACAAACACACACCCTGATAAATATGTAATCCTCCTGCTCAAGTGGTTTTTTGTTGTTTTTATACAGATTATTTTTTGCAAAACCATAGTGTAAAAAAGATCAAAATAAACTTGACAGTACCTTTTGGCAAATTTCCCTGTAGGTAAGCTATTACTGTAGGTGACACGGTAAGACCTAGACCCAATACCGATTTAGTTTATCATTTGGATGTCCCCAGAGGCCAAAAACACTAAGTTCTCCGTAAAAATATATATATATATATATATATATATATATATAATATAAACGTCCCTAAACGTGATAACTGAAGTATCTGTAATAAATGGTTTTATTAGTTGCGTTTAAAATTGTCATTTACATTTCCTTAAACTCCTTGTTGCAAATTGCATATACAAATAGTTCGTTGTAAAAAGAAAATAGGTCAATTGAAATTTACATTGATCAATTTAAAAAAACCAATAGCGTAGACAAAAAATTTACCAAGGTATAAACTGAGTTTTAAATTATAACTATTATAACTTAATACAAATTACTAAGGTCATAAACCTAGATAAGTTTTGGAGAGCTTTGGAGTAGCAGTAATGCGATTTGGATTACCCAGGCTGGCTTTGTGATTGGCCTCTAGTTAAGCTGAGATATTTCATGGATTATGTTAGTGTTTATGTTTGTGGCTTGATGTAAAAGTGAATCTAAAATATTTAAATATGAAAAGAAGGATAATAAAGCAAGTGCATCAGGAGTGTTGAAAACATAATTTAACTTCTGTTAAAAAGTATTGAAGTTTCAAGAGAACGTACATAATCTTGACGTAGTTGGGATTTGTTGGTATTTATGTGTACAGGTATTAGCTATTATACGTATAATAATAAATAAATAAATCCTATAGTTTAAAACTGTAACCTATGCTATACAAAATAAAGTATTGATTAGTAGATTGCTATTGGATACCCTACATTTAACTGTAATTAATTGATACCTACCAAGTTTGGTATCAAATAAAGGCAAAATTATTTATGTTTTATACTGATGTATCTAATTGTAAATGAATCTTCTAGGTTGCTTTGTGAATTCAGAAACAATATTTGCCATCCAGGCTTCTATGTTCCAAGTTCCTATGATTATGCAATGTTTGTGCATTGAATTAGCTAAACATGAGTTATATAAGGTTTTCTAACATTTTAACAATGCACAAATAACAAGAATGGTTTTGTCTACTTAATCAATGATCTTTACTCTATAAGTTATTGAATTACAATACCGTACTATTAATATGACTTATTATACTGAAACCGACAAGTTACTTGAAAACACAATATTTAAAGGTAAAACTGTATAAAACATTCTTAGGAGAGAGCTGGTCCAGAGGTATAAAAGTGTGATGCTTAGGTAATGTGTTCAAATCCGGCTAGCCACTGATAGCTTGATCACAGTGATAACACCTTGACACTCTTGGCCTAGCCTGAATTAATTGTTTTGCGTTATTATATTTAATAATGTTATTTTATAAATTTATGTAGGCCTATCAACACTGAAACCGAAAAAAAATCCTTGCACATTTGAGTTTTAATGAATTATAAGTTTTCCTTCCTAGTATTTGAATTCATAAATTCATATAATAAAAAAAAATTAACTACCTCTAACACTTTAAGTTCTATAGAAATGTGATATGATTGTTTCAATGTTGCTCAAGATAGGACGGGAACACATAAACTGTCATGCCCGTCTTATCTGTTTTGCAAGTTCAACTTAAGCTGCAAATTAATATCCGCTCTTGGTATCAAAACTTTCCCAACAAACTTTCTCTGAATTGAGTAAGCGAGAAATATTTTACTTAAGTTTATATGTATTAAAATAGGAAACCTATTGCATTTTCTAAGATGGCAGTCTGATGAAATTCATTTATACTTAAAGAGAGCATTCAAAAGAGCTTATAAATGTTTTACAGTGCTTTCTGGATTGAAAAATCAACAAATACTCTTCATGAGATTCATATTTGGATATTGTATTGATATTATAATATTTTACAGAGTTAAGCAATTTATTGTATTAGCTAAACTATTTTTAGCTTACTGAATAAGAAATGAAAAATGTCCTAAAGCACTTCATTATTTCAACTTGTACCATCTCCA